CGATTCGTAGTTGTCCGGCGGCACAGGGTCGTCCTTCTTCCATAGTAACCCCGTCTCGTATCCTCCCGCCGGTAACGGACGAGTTTTCTCTTCTAAAATGCGCAGGGCGCGACGTTCTTCTTCATTGTAAGACCTCTTCGGTGCGATTCCCAGCGATTCGAGCGCGAAATGTTGCTTCATCATTTCTTCCATCGATTGTTCCTCTTCATGTGTCGTCACTATGTGGCTGATTCTGTGCACCTGCTGTCTTGTCCTGCCGCGACTCGTACCGTGCAGTACCCATCCCAGGTCGGTGAGTGATGCGACCGGCTGCGTGTCGGATCCTCTTCTGATTTCGTGGGCCAGCAGTAGGTGCCAGTTGTCTTGCCCCAACAGTACCGTCGGTTTGCCCTCTTCGTAGACCAGTTCCCTCTCTATGTCTCGTAGATGTGGACAGCCCTTGATGACGCTGCGCGGTACCGACTGCGGTGATAACTGCAGTCTGTCCATCGTCCGTGCCCCCACTGTGTATTCTTGTGAATTCCGCCCGTGGATCTTGAAGTGAACACGCGTCGATTGAGCTGCGTTGATCCGTGCCCCGGCCACACCTTCCATGTAGAATGGTGCGGGGGAACCCGTAGCACCGATTCGCTCCGCCACCGCCGTCTCGATGATGGTGCAAGTCGACCCGTCGTCCAGTAGCGCGTAGATGTCGCACGTTCCCGTGGGACCGGTGACTCGTATCGGCAGGATCTTCAGGAACGCGATCTTGTCGTTTTCCCTTGCCGATGCGGCGACTGCGGCGGACTTGTCCTCGACGACGTGTGTTGTCACTTCGTTCTCCGGCTGTTGTCGCGTGGTGTGCAGCAGAGGGTGATGAGTCTGCGTGCACTCATCTACTCCACATCTCTTGCTCTTGCAGGCGTGGCGAAATCTTCTCACTTTGAGGCAACGGAAACACAGCCTATGAGTCTTCGCTAGCTCCCATCTCGCCGATGTGTCCGCTTCCTTCATCGTCTTGCAGTCCGATGGAGCGTGTCCCTCTCGTCGACACATCGGGCACGGTGGTGTAGCGGGTTTCTCTTGCGTCGCGTATGTCTTCGCCGTCTTCCTAGGAGCGGACTCCCGCCGGTCTTCGGACGGTATCTCCTCGGCGGGGGCGAAGTTTCCACATCGTGCGGCGGTCCTTTGCAGGAACTGAGAGAGTGTTATGAGGTCCGGTTGTCCCTCCGGTTGGTCGTTGGCGAAATCGTAGTACTTGAAGCGTAGTACCGACGGCATCTTCTCTGTGACGTTTCTCACTATTTCTTCATTGTAGAGGTAGTGACTCTTGTTCAGCGCTCGTATCGTGGCGACGACGTTCTGCACCTTGCTTGCGAAGAGGCAGACGTCTCTTGCGTTGTCCGAGAGTCGTGGTAGCGCGCGGAGTTTGTTCAGTTCGGCTGTGACGAGTGCTCCAGGGCGGCCGAACCTCGCGGCTAACATCTTCATCACTTCTTCTGCGGTCGTAGACCCGACGAATAGGGAGCGTGCCGCGTCCTTTGCGGCCCCCTTCAAACTTCTGCGCAGTCTTGCTAGGTTCTCTTGTTCTGTGTGTTGACTTGCGCTCTCTTCATAGGCCATCTTCCATGGTAACCACTCGCTCGACGATCCATTGAAGACTGGCAACTCGGTGACTCTTGACGCTGTGGAGGGCAGTATGTTGCGAGCGGCCATCTGCATGGCGATCGCAAACTCATTACAATCGATGCCCACTTTCAGCACCGGTTCTTCTTTTTTCATCGACTGCATCGCTGCTGCTATCGTAGGCATGGCGGCATGTGGGTCAACGTGGCGTGCGTGGTCCCGGTGAAGTGCGTCGCTGCTCGGCTGTGGCGGCGGCGCTCTCGAATCCTCTTCAACGGGTCTCGATGGGACGAACCCCTGACGCTTGCCGGTGACTTCTTCTATCTCTGGTACATGCGGCTCCATCGTGAGTGCTAGCGTGCTTCGATGAACCCAATCCGACGTTCGTTCTCTTCTGACGGTAGCGTCGTCGTCTTCTATTTCCTCGTCGTCTTCCGATTCGGCTTCCAGGGCGGCGACACGTGCAGCAGCCAATTCCACCTCCTTTCGAAGTAGCTCCTCCCGTGCCTTGGCCAGAGCCTTCTTCTTCTGTGAGGCCGTGGTGCGAACCGTGCGTGCCGTGCCGTGCTTCGGTTCCTTCTTCCTTGCTGTCTCCTCTGTCGTTCCTGTGGCTTCGGTAGTCTCCGTGGCTCCTGTGGTCGTCGTATCGCCGGACGTGTTCGTAGTCGATGTGGTGGCGGCGGTAGACGACGTGGCAGCGACAGATGACGTTCTGACAGCCGCAGACGACGTGGTGGCAGCAACGGACGGCGTGGCAGCGACGGACAGCGTTCCGGCGGCCGTAGTCGACGTGGTGGCGGCGGACGTTGTGGCTTCGGTGACGGCGATTTTTTGTTGCGATGACTTCATGTTTCTCGTAGTCGGCATTTCAGTGATCCGGCTTCAGAATGGTCTTCCTCCAGCGATCCGGCTTCTCGATGTACCAACGGTGTTCCTCCAGCAATCCGGCTTCTCGAAGGACCACGATGTACCAACGGTGTTCCTCCAGCAATCCGGCTTCTCGAAGGACCACGATGAACGGTGTGGACTGCCGTTCGGTGAGCGTGGACTGTAGGGGCGTTGGTTCAGGCTGGAGTGAAACACAGCGATTACTATTCTGAAGCCTCCGGTACCGTCTGAAGAGAGTATTTTTTCTTCTTGTCCTATTTCTTCTCGAGTGTAGTGCGTCGCTGCCCGGAAGCGAATGCCGCTCGACGGGAGGCGGCCTATCTTTATACCCGCCCGCTCGCACGATAACATTTCCAACTCGCGTTAGCGAATCTGTGCGAGCGGGACGGGGCGAGAACGAACGAGACGCGTGTCTCTTCAGATCGGTACTCTATAGCGTCTATTTATTTATTACAATTTACAATTTCTTAGTTCTATTTATTGTTACAATTTCTATTTCTATTCGTAGGTAATAATGACAACACGTAAAGAATGCTTTATTTGACTTACACTATAGGTATCTTAAATCTATGTAAATCTATATAAAATAACAGTATACAAACGATTAAACTAGGGACTTAACAACTATAAATTACGATTACATATATACAAATAATGTCGCGAACAATATTATTATATGGTCCTTCCAAGAATCCTGTATATACCTTAAACATCCAAGCATGTATCCATTAAGGGGCGTCGTTATGTGATTTGATTTTTAAAACTTTGATTAAAGACTGGACTTCATAACTAAGTTTATTTTTAGAGGATTTTTGATAATTACCTATTCAAAAACAGTACCAGACAAAACTTTGCTTTATTTTCCCTATAATATTTACATATACCTTTATAAACTGTAATTATTTCAGATTTTTAGCTTTACAAACTAATAATAAATAAATATGGATAAATGGGTTAGAGGGGAGGGGTTAACATTTTCGATCATAAATCAAAAACTACTCAATATAAAAATAAATAAAAATCAGATGTAAAATGTATAAATGAAGCCCTTTCATGTGATACCTCACATTATCTGTTAGTTCTATTCTGAAATTTTCAATACCCATTTTGAATTCCTTAGCAGAAAAAAAAAAATTAATTATTTCCATTGCAATATATGCAGGCCAACAATATGTAAATCTTAATTTTCTCAATGTAAATCAAAAAATCCAAATTTCAAATCGATAGCATTAGTACTTGCCGAGTATAGCACTGTGACAGATGAACGGACGGATAAAGTCGCACCATAAGGGTTGCTTTGTACTTTTTTGATACAGAAAACTAAAAAGATAGTAATACTTAATACGTAGTAATACTTTGTCCTCAGTCTCACGTCATTTATGCAGAAAATCTATAAAATTTTACATAAACAACTCTATTGATAAAACGAAGAAAATTGTTAGCACAAGTGCATGGCATTGACATTGAATGGTTAAAAATAAAATTGCCCTAGGTAATTTGTTATTAAATATCAACTTTATCGGCTTGAATCTTGTAAAGAGTCGCTTTGTTTTCGGAGCACTATCTACATGTAATTTATTTTGATAACTTACAGCTCGGTACAAAATACAGATATAATTAAGTATATATGTCTACCCAAGAGCAACGAATGTACTTAACCGCGTTTAAAAAAGTAATAATTGTATACCAGTATTTATAGGAGTAGTAAAATACGCTTTAATAAGTGACACTAATTAAGGATGGATAATATATAGCAATATCTATATATTGTAATTGCCGTGTAGTTTATGGTATAGAATAGGCCACTCCTTCCTTTCCCATGGGGGTCGTAAGAGCCAACTAAAGGAGGGCGAGGGATGGGCTGCAGTTTCCCTCTTAAAACATCTCTAAAGCCAACTCGTCTGTCAAGTATGGCAACTACTGGCAAAACCTCTCAAAGGGAGGCTTATGTTCAGCAGTGGACATTTAAAAGCTGATATGATGATGTTATTGTAGTTACAATATCTATACAGATATTGGCCCAATAACAGATATATTAGATATCGGTATATATAATCGGTTATCCTCCAATATATAGTATCGCAAAGAAAAACCCGCTCGTAATGAATATAGATATTAGACTGGTATGAGTGATATCGCAATGGGTGGTTATAAATGTGCAAAAGAACTCAATATATAGATATCAGATATTACCCATCTCTAGTACTTATCCTATAATTTAGTTCCTTTCTGGGACCCCTATAAATTTTGTTACGATTAAACGACGCGTTTTTTTTTTTTAATTACTAAGCAAAATCTAAATATAAATATAAATATCATCTCAATAATAAATAGTATATGTTCTTTACCATTCCAAAAGAAATGCGACGCTTTTGGGATAGAGAAATAGACTATTATTCGAAATTTATAATGATGGTTTTAACTTGCCCAAAACGGTAGTATACAAACAGATGTACTTTCACATGTATAATACTGTTATTAGTAAACTTTAACTATTTAATCTACAGACACTCTCAGGAACCGGTGCCTTACGTCTTGGATTTGAGTTCATCACAAAACACTACGCCAAAAATAAGGAGGTCTGGCTGCCCAGTCCGACATGGGGGAACCATCCTCAGATCTGCAACACGCTCGGCTTGCCGCACAAGAAGTACCGCTATTATGATCCGAAGACGCATGGTTTTGATCTGCAGGGCGCCCTCGAAGATATCTGTGTAAGTATTGTTATATTGCATTTTCTTCAAATTGTAATATTTGATTACTTTAGCCTGAATGGAACCAATCAGCATTTTGAATTAACCAATCACCAAATCTAAAACGAAAGTGGACGAATCTACCATCATTTCTTAAGTTAATTTAATTTTTTTTAATGGAAAATAATCGAGTGGTAACTCTGCCTGCGCTATGGATATACACTAGCGGGGCACCAGTGAGGGATGATAGATGAGCATGAAAGCAGGTCAGTTAGCCCATCGTGACGAATGCAACAAGTATCAATCACAATGGTTTCCGGGGGGGACCACGTGGAGGTCGACCTGACGGGGCTTGCTAGCAATGGGGCCATCAGTCCCCATTGCTAACAGTCCCCCCCCCCCCCCAGTTAATTTTGGTTGTTAACTGTGTTTATTATTATCGTAGATTTACATGGATATTTTGAATTGAACCTTAAGTTGGCGGAGTAAATCCCCAAGTAACATTGTTTACAAATTAACTCATAAAATTTTATTCCTTATCTATGTATACTAGCTTTTGCCCGCTACTTCGTGCGTTTAGATTTTGAAAGTAGGTAGGTAACCATTTGTAAACAGCGTAACAATATACTTGTAAGAAATAGAACTGTAAAAACTGCATTAATTTTGGTGCAGTGGTTTTAGCATAACACTGAAACAAATAAACAAACAGACAAACAAAAAATTCTAAAAATGATAATTTTTATTTGTATTTCTCTTATTAAAATCTCTCATATCACTTTATCTTATATATCTCATATGTACAGTTATCGTTTAGTTACAATTCCATTATATTTAGTAAAACAATCATACTGTATTAGCTGTAGAGTTCACAGAGATGTCGATAATATTAACTCGATTAAGTGCACGCGGTATACGCATGCTTGTCTGTCAACAGATAAACCGGGAAATTTTGTTAGTATGACGTCACAGTATATTCATATTGTGTTAACCTTTTGCCCTGTAACATAAAGAGAAACAACACTGTTTATTTATCTCATGGTAATACTAAAAATATATACATATAATTTGTAACATAATAAAATGTTTGTCGTGAATTCGGAATTATCCTATTATTCTCCTTTAAATAATCTTGGAATGAGTGTATTTAAATCTGATACTAGCAATCAGGAGCATTCGCATGGATAGATAGAATTTTCTAAAATAGTATATTGTCTATGTCATTCGCTGATAATTTAGCTTTCTAAAAATAAAAAAATAAAACTTTTAAAATCTGTTCAGGAGTTTATCCATTACAAATAAATAAACAATCAAATCTTTCCTTTTTATAATATTAGCATAGGTGAACTAATTGGTACTTTAGAATCTTTTCACTGTAAGAGACAATTTAATTTTAAACTTGAGCATTGTTGACGTATTATAAATACACTATCGGGACGTAAAGCGGCGAAAAATGTAGGAAAATAATACATACATACCGGATTTTACGTAGTGGTCACAGCAGAACTGAAGTGTCTTCTTCTGGCTACTAGAAGAACGAAAAGACGTGAAATGGAAAACTAAATAACTCGACTATTGTATTTTTGAAATAATCATGATTTTTAATGCTTTGTTGAAACGAAGTACCTATCGTGATTTGAAGATTACACATTAGGCGAGATTTTGTGGCACTTATTTATTCATATTTTTTGTTCGTAGAACATTCCAGAGGGATCTATAATTCTTCTACACGCATGTGCACACAACCCGACTGGTGTGGATCCCAGACCCAACGACTGGAAACAGTTATCCCAGGTAAAAAAAAACTAATTAATACAACAAATTTATTATATTTATTTAAAATTTTTAGTGATCAACCTAAACCCTTGAACATTTCAAATTAGTGATTGAATGAGACGTTTAAAAATGATTACACTTGCTTCGTTCTTCAGAGGGCACCTTCATCAGTCATACGGTGAAACACGTTTAAAGCCTCTATGCATAACGCAGACGATCGTCGTGAGCGTATTTAGATCCCGAGCCCACCATAGAGTTGTTTGGTCCCTGCCTCAGGTTTCAAGCAAAACTTCACAAACACTAATCTGGGAGCTCTGTTATCAGGAGGAATAAGTTGGTGGCCTATGAAAATATTAAAATTTTCTCTCTTCTCTTGGTATTATTCTTCAATTTAATTTTCATTTTTCAGCCTTCAAGAATAGTAAAAAATTCTAGCGGTCCCCCAAAAAGGTAAACAATAGTCCGTTTAAAAAAACTCCGTATTTCTATTGAGAATATATTAACAAAAAATTTATTACACTTGACTAACATCTATACTTGATCTAAGAGCAATAAAATTACAGTTACCACCAAACCCCCATCAATCCGCCTCCACAAAGAGAGCGAAAAAATACAAATCTTTAAGAAATTTAGCTGCAATAACTTATATCGATTTCTGTCGCCAGGCAATCAAAGAAAAGAAATTATACCCATTCTTCGACATGGCGTACCAGGGCTTCGCGACCGGCAGCGTAGACAATGACGCATTCGCTGTACGTCTTTTCGTCAAGGAGGGCCACCAGGTCACACTAGCTCAGAGCTTCGCTAAGAATATGGGTAAGTTACTATCACCGTTAATTTACATTTGACGTGAAAATAAACAAGACCTCTTAATCTCAAAAAAATGTGCCCGAATCTGACTCAACTTACACGGGAAGTTGGGTCAGATTCGAGTACTTTTTTGCACGTACGCACGCATGCACGCATACACGCACGCACGCACGTACGTACATACGTACGTATGTACGTTTATGCGTAAATACATACATAAATTTGTATGTTTACTTTTTACGTATAGAATTTGTTTCGTACCAAGAAAGGACGAACTGATGGCACTTTGTTTTGCGTAAATAAGATTCCGGGATTCCGGTATTTCCGGTCAGCCCGATTAAAGACCTGAATTTTTTTAATTTCCTAGAAACTGGTTGTTCTGTTTACTGACCCCCCGACACACGATTATACGATAGAAATATTCAAACGAACCGAGAACCTTTTGAATATTGCTTTAAAATGCCATGTTACATTTTAAATCGTAGGAACGCATGTATTATCCTTAATTTATTTATTTATTTATATCTATACTTATCACTATATATATTATATTATTTGTGGGACCAATCTGTAAGTATATCCTTTCAAATAAAGACTTTGTTACCTCATAATTATGACGTAACAAACTTAAAAAATATAACCGAATTGAGAGCCTCCTTTTTTAAAGTCGGTTGAAAATACAATCAGTTTTGTACACTTAAGTTTACTTGACAGATCTAACATGTCTCTTATAAACAAGTAAATATAATAAATAACGTAGTGAAAATATTTATTCTATGATTAATAACTGTTATTCACTGTTGACCTCGTTTCTACAAAAGATAACATGTTATGAAATACATGTTTACTCAGATAAAAAAAAAAGATATTTTATAGATAAGATTAAGTTTTATTTTTATCATTAGATGTTTTAATAATGTTTATGCTGCGACTAAATGTATATATATAATATACATTTATTCGTTCTCTTGTAATTGTTATCAAATTCTATCACAATTCTATTTTCAAATCTAATTACTACGACTCATGTAATGTGTTATCAAGCTTAAATTTGTTGTCATTATGTTTTTTTTTTTTTAGCAAATAAACACATCTTTTATTTCTTCTCTGTATAGAATACAGATACAGATACAGGTTCTTGGAATAGATTAGCGATGTATAAATTTGTACATTGTTGCATTTTTACATATTTTGAGTTCTAGAAAAATAGAATCTCCATCTATTCAACACTTGTCTTAATACCAACATCAGCTTATCACTTCTAGTTTACAAGTAAACCACAAAACTGGTTGTGGAAGAGTATTATTAGTAATGGGGACAAGAGATCCCATTCTAGCAATAGAACATATCAGGTTGTGTAAAAAAATCACAAAATCGTATCTAAAAAAAAGAAATGTACTTACGACTATAACAAAAATGGTTTGTTAATAATGGGGGTTAGCAACCCCATTACTGTCAAAAAGGACCCAATCAGGTCGATCTCCTTGCGGTTCCCCTTGGAAACCATCGTGATTCATCCTCGCCTATCATCTCTCACTGGTGGCGTCCATCAACCATCGTGGCGAATTCAACGATAAATTAGTCACGATTGTTTCCAGGGGAAACCGCGTGGAACTCGACCTGATAGGGTATATTGATAGCAACGGGAACTAACCTCCACATTACTAACAATCCCTTCCCAACTAGTCAGTTTTAAAAAATCCTATGTGTGTAGAATAAAAAACCAAACCGTGTACCAACTTTTATTCTAAATCGAGTATTTTTGCATGAAAGGGTAAAAACATTCATCCATACATCATACCCTGTACAATTTATACAAAAACGCCACGATCTGTGATTGTAACAACTACAGAAATAAGTCACATCTGTACATGTGACATTGTGTGCGTGTGTAGTTAGGGATAGCGCGGGAAAAGCGCGCGCTTAGATGTATGTGAATTGTGCCGTCACATTATCCTTTTCATACGTTGTAGATATTGTATGCTCTATCCTTCTCTGACATAGGCGGCTATTGAAGCGTAGACTAGACACATCTAGTGGTGTATGGTAGCTGACGTGTTTTTTTTTCGTACAGTTTTTGCTGTTGGCCGCAGATGGCCTTTACAGCTTCACCGAGCGCGTGTGCAGGGGCGAGTGCTGAAGGCACTCCAAGCCCGCGAGAGGGGAGCGACGTGAGGCGTCAGCTCTTTCAGATGGACTGCGGTGTTTGCGCCCGAGGGCGCCCTAGTGGCTCGAACCTCGACTCAGGCCACCGCACTTCGGCCCCCGTCAGGGCGGGGGTCGGTAGATCGAGGGGGGGGGTCGCCGCCGTCGACGTTGGCGGACGAGACATACGAACGGCGCACGGGCAGACGTCTGCCCGGTCGATGACGCGAACCGGGTGTGCTGGGTCCTCGTCCCCGCCGGCGGGGACGGTGTGTGCGATGTGTTGGCGTGTGTGTGCTCGCGGAGAGACTGGACGAAGGTTCCGCGGAAGAGGTCCCGCTGGTGTCATTCACCGCCGTTATGGGGTCGTCGGGGTCGATGAGTGCGTGCCTCGGGCGTCGCCGTCGGCGTTTATCGTTCTCCTTAGGGGTGTACGCACACGCTTTAGCGATGAGCGGGTTTGGGTGGGTTTCGGCGGTGCTGAAGTAGCGTCGAGACGCTTCCTTCATGAATTTGCGAATGGACTGGATTTTTAGATCACGATGTAGATCTGCGTTGCGTACGTACCACGGGGCCCCCGTGGCTCGCCGCAGGAACTTGTTCTGCACCACCTGAAGGGTGTGCAGGTACGAGGGGGGGGCGTGCGCAAACACGACGCTTGCGTACGTCATGACTGGCCGTATGCAGGCCTTGTAAAGTCGCAGCTTCGCATTCAGCGATAGCTTGCTATTTACATTGAGAAAGGGGTGGAGGCGTCCCAGTATGAAACTGGCCTTGCCTCGGACTGTTTTGATATGAGGTGCGAAGCTCATTTTTGAGTCGAGTTCGACACCGAGGTATTTAGACCTCTTAGCCCACGGAATGGGCGTGTCGAACATCTTGATTGGTTTCGGAGGCGACAACTGATTATTTGTCGTGAAGAGGACGGCGGCGCTTTTGTCGGGATTTACCTCTATGCGCCATTTGCGGAACCACTGGCCCAGCTCGTCGGCCGCCCGCTGTAGTCTCTTGACCACGGGGGCGACCGACGGGCTGTCCGTGTATAACGCTGTGTCGTCAGCGTAGAGGGCTATGTGCACTCGGGGCTGGCGAGGGATGTCGTTGGTATACAACGAGAAGAGAGTGGGAGAGAGGACGGCGCCCTGCGGGACGCCGGCTCTCAACGGTCTTGCGCTGGATCGCGCACCGTTGACGTTGTAGCGATAGGTCCTATTCGACAGGAAGGCTCGTATGATGTGCACGAGCCTGTCCGGCACTCCCATCTTGTGCAGCTTGTATATCAAGCCGCTGTGCCAGACTTTGTCGAAGGCCTTCGCCACATCGAAGAATAGGACGCCTGTGACCCCTTTGGGCGCTAGGCGTCGGGCGTTGAGGATATGCTCGACTAAGCGATGGACTTGATGAACAGCCGAGTGCCTGGCTCTGAAACCGAACTGTTCATCGATTTGCACGCCCTCGGACTGCATCCAGTCTTTCAGGCGCGCCAGGATAAGCCTCTCATACAGCTTCCCCAACGAGTTGAGGAGGCTGATGGGGCGAAAGCTGGTGGGAAGGGACTTGTCCTTGGATGGTTTGGGAAACCCTATCACGTCGGCCTCTTTCCAAGCCTCCGGGAAGAGGGCGTTGGAGATGGCCGCATTGAAAATTGCTACTAACAGTAGCAGAATGCTTTCCGGCAGACTCTTAAGGAGTCTGTTTGTGATACCGTCGGCACCGGGTGCCTTACGGGGAGAGGTATTTTTAATGAGCGATCGCACCTCGTCTAGAGTGACGGGGGAGAGAGACGATGTGGGCGGGATCGACACGATCCGCTCCACCTCGGATTCGACCTCCTCTAGATGACCGATTGGCACCGGGAGGGTGCTCGGGGAGCATTGAGTTTCGAGGCTGTCGGCCAAGCATTCGGCTTTGTCCTCGTCGAAAAGGGCTAACGATTGGTCAGGTCGGACCAGTGGCGGCAGGTCCGAGAGGTCTTGATCGGTTTTGAGAGATTTGGCAATGCGCCAGTACGCGGTGTGACTGGGGGTGAGCTCCCTAGTGAAGTCATCCCATCTGTCTTTCCGTAGTTCCGCTATGCGGGTCTTTACTTCACGCTGTAAAGCTCGCAGGCGGACTCGGTTTTGGTCGGAGGGGTAGCGATCATAGTGTCGCGTGGCGGCGTTCTTTGCGCGCAGCAGAGCCCTTACGTCATCAGGCAGTTTCCATCTACGGTCTCCCGTGTCCGGAACCTCCCTGGAGCAGTCCTTGACTGCCGACTGCAGGTGCTCAGTGAGCGCATCGATGGCAATGTTCGTGTCTTCGATAGACACGATGCTGTCTGGAATGCGGTCCAGCACTGGAGTGTCTGTCGACTCGAGGACTTCCACGAGCCGGCTCCAGTCTGTTACCGTTCTGAGTTTTGGCGCTCCGTCGGCTGGTGGACCTAGGGTGAGAGTGACGGGGCGGTGGTCGGAGGTTAATTCGGCATGGACCTCTATGGAACTCAGCCTGAGGGCTACGTTCTTTAGTAGGGCCAGGTCGAGAACGCATGGCTGGTGCGCTGGGTTTATTGGGTAGTGCGTAGGATGCACAGGCGGGAGGATGTCGTAACCCAGGGAGACCGATAGGCTTTCCAGGGTTAGACCGTTTCGGTTTGGGTGGACACAGCCCCAGTTGCTGTGTTTGCTGTTTAAATCCCCCGCTATGATTACCGAGTCCCCCAGGGCCAGGAGGGCTTGGAGGTCGGCGCGGAGGATCTTTTTAGTGGGAGGGAGGTATGCCGATACTAAATATATCGGTCTATGGTCGGTCATCGCTAGGAGACACACCGAGGCTTCGATGTTTTCGAGCGGGGGCGTGTCGATCGGGATGCATTGCAGGGACCTCCTGTAATAGATTAACGTACCGCCGCCTCGGCCGACGCGGTCGTCTCTTTTGACTAGATAGTTCGCGATCCTAGGATCGCGCATCGAAGGTTTCAGGAAGGTCTCCTGCACGAGGAGAACGTCCACCTGATGGTCGGTGAGGAATACGCCGATTTCTTCTTTCTGGCTATGAAGTCCGTTGGCGTTGAAGAACGCCAACTTTACGGACCGAGGTTTGCACCTTAGACCTTTACGACCCATAACTTAAATGGTGAAGTTTGACACCGCGACTAGCACGCTGATATGCTCGCAGACGGCTGCGAGCTTGTCTTGTGGGGTTTTCGCGAGCCTCAGCTTGGAGGCCAGGGCGGAGATCTCGCCTGCGTCTATGGCGCAGGCGAGCTTCGCCACCAGTGCGAAGTCGGCGGCGAATCCAGTGCCGCTGACCGCGCTGAGCTGCGGGGTGGGGCTGGGTGGGGACGGGGGGGCCGCTGCTTTGGCCGGCGTCGGGGCTGCAGTAGGCGCAGGGGGCGGGGGGGTCGCCTTCACGACCGGAGGCCGCACCCATGCGTTCTTGGGCGGTGGGGGCGCAGTTGTAGGCTGCGGGGCGGGTGGGGGCGCGGGGCGCGCGGCTCGAGGGGCCGGGGCTTTCGCGACCTTCGAGGGGGCGGCCTTGTTGTGGCCGGGACGTGGGGCACGGGGGCAGCCACGGTAGTTGGCCGTGTGGCCCTGCTGACCGCAGAGCACACAGCTCGGAGGGGTCTGAGTGTTTGCGACGCGGTCGCATTGTTTTGTGCCATGGTCTCCCAGGCACTTCACGCAGCGCTCGCGTGCGAAACAGTTACGGGCAGAATGCCCGTAGAATTGACAGCGGTGACACTGTCCGGGGTAAGTCCGCTTGTTGGGCGGCTCAACAGAAAGGCCTGATATCAGGCAGACTGTTTTGATGTTAAATATTGCCTTTCCCTCGGGGGAAAGGTCCAGGACTACAAGCACCATGTCCAGTGGTGCTTTTGTTCTGGCACGGTACATTCTGTGCACTTCGTGCACAGGATAATGTTGTGCGCGTAGATCTGTCAGGACCTCCTGACAGTCTATTTCGCGTGGGACTCCACGTATGACGACGCGGAGCCTCTTCTCTTCTTCGAGGGCGTAGGTGTGGTAGCCCACACTGTTCGCCCTAAGGAAGGCGGTCAGCTGCCTATGGTCCGCCGGAGTGGGGACCGTTACTTTAATACCCACGGAGGTAACCCTCGCGTGGGTGAAGGAGATGCGCTTTTCTTTTAGCGCAGCGGACACCTTGTTCCAGGACGACTTGTCCTGGATAACAATCGGCGGGGGTTTTCTGCTCCCCGCATGATCGCGGGTTTTAATACCCGCGGTGGACGGGACGGCCGCTCCTTCTGTGGAGCGTTGGGTTTTGGCCGGCGGAGTGTTTTTATTTTTCTTAGCGCGCTTAGCGCGCTTGGCCCCAACTACAATGAAGTCCTCGTCGGAGGAGGACTGGTCGGTCGCGGACGCGGCGTCGGAGTCGGCCGATGGAGTGTCGCACTCCATGTCGGCCGGAGAGGGAGGACGGCTAGAGCCGTCGGAGTTTGAGGACGATGCCCCCGGTGAGGCCGGAGACACGTCCCCTGGGGACGATGGAGCGGAGGACTCCCCGGTGTCCTCTCGGTTAGAGGACGCCGGCGAGGCGGGAGAGTTCTCGTGCACCACCGGGGTGCCGATTTCTTTGCGAAAGGCATCGAAGATGCCCTTCCCGAATTTTGTCTCTAAAAATGCGAAAAATCGCGGGAGGTCGCCTTGGGAAACCTCTATGGTTCCCATGGTCACCCCCTTACAGCGGGCTACCCGACTAATTTAATTAGAGAGTAATTTATTTTATACACACCCGACCGGGGTCGGGTGCAATATTAAAATTGGCTATTAATTTAATATCTATCTTATCAATAATACTATAATTAAGATAAAATGTAACTACGTTAAGATATATTATAAGAAGCCGGTAACCGTTTCTAACGGTCGATGTATAACCGACCGTTATCTTATCTGCTACTTAACGGTCGCCGCCGGGCCCGCCCGGCGGCTTGTGTAACGGTTTCCCCTTCCCCTAGGGGAGGGGGGGTGTGTGCTACTACTCGTAAACCGCTAATGCGGTAATGAGTGCCTACTCACCGATACACCTGCAGCTGTGAGTGGTGATCGCGTGGGGTCACTGTCACAGTCACTTCACAGTCACTTTGTGCACTTGCCCAACAATACCGGAAAAATATTTGAAATAATTCACCGGAACACTTATTGGATTAACTGATATCTAACGCGACGCGGCGCGAGTCGTGTGCGTGGCGGTACGCGAGATGCGATGTGACGCGAATGCGAACAATAATAATAATGTTTTCGCTCCGATTGTTGTGTGTAAGCATATGCTCACCTCAACAGATCGAATCGGAATGTCGTGAACGACCTCTGGTAATGAACGAATCCAATATTCGTAATATATATATACGTGTCGACGGGGCCGCAGCGAGCTACGTGAGCACATCGGGGGGGTTACGGAGAGAGAGAGAGCGAAACGTAGAGCGAGCGAGCGAGACAGACAGACAGTGTACTACTTGCTTGCTCGGTTACATTTTACGGATTATGTTGTCGTTGTTGTTGTGTGTTATACTACTTTGTACTTGTACAATGTTGTATGTATATATATATTTATTTATTTATCGGGGGAGTCGGGAGTCGGGCAGTCGGGCAGTCGGGCGTTCAGCAGAGACGGTGCTCGGTGATAATGATGGCGATGGCGATGGCGGGGTGACGGTGACGACTGTTGCTTGCTTTTGGATGGAGAAACGCATATATGGACAATAGAATGCATGCATGCATGCTCGCACGCGCATATATTTATGCCCCCGGTGAGGCCGGAGACACGTCCCCTGGGGACGAGGGAGCGGAGGACTCCCCGGCGTCCTCTCGGTTAGAGGACGCCGGCGAGGCGGGAGAGTTTTCGTGCACCACCGGGGTGCCAGCTTCGTTACGGAAGGCATCGAAGATGCCCTTTCCGAATCTATTTTCCAAAAACGCGAAAAAACGCGGGAGGTCGTCCTGGGAAACCTCTAAGGTTCCCATGGTCACCTCCTTACAACGGGCAACCCGGCTTATTAAAATAATAAATAATTTATAAACACCCGACTGGTGCAATACTGCACCCGACTCCCATCGGGTACAATACAGACTACAAAGAAATTTCTTATCTTATCTATAAACTATAAATAAAGAAAGAGTAAAATTAAAATTATCACTACAAAGAAATCCGATAACCGTTTCTAACAGTCGATGTCTGATCGACCGTTATCTTATCTCTTGTAACGGTCGCCGCCGGGTCGGTCCACAAGGTGACGGTCCCCACTCCGGCGGACCATAGACAGTTAACCGCCTTTCTAAGGGCGAACAGTGTGGGCTACCACACCTACGCCCCCGACGACGAGAAAATGCTCCGCGTCGTACGGGGAGTCCCGCGCAAGTTAGACTGCCAGGAGGTCCTGGCTGATCTACGCGCGCAGAAATATCCCGTGCACGAGGTGCACAGATGTACCGCGCCAGGACGAAGGCGCCATTAGACATGGTGCTCGTAGTCCTTGACCTTTCCCCCGAGGGAAAGGCGATTTTAAACATCAAAAATGTCTGCCTGATCTCAGGCCTCTCCGTCGAGCCGCCCAACAAGCGGACCTACCCCGGACAGTGTCACAGCTGTCAATTCTACGAACACTCTGCCCGTAATTGCTTCGCGCGCGAGCGTTGCGTAAAGTGCCTTGGCGATCATGGCACTAAACAATGCGATCGCGTCGCAAACACTCAAACCCAGCCGAGCTGTGTGCTCTGCGGTCAGCAGGGCCACACGGCAAATTACCGTGGTTGCCCCCGCGCCCCACGTCCTGGCCACAACAAGGCCGCCCCCTCTCAGGTCGCGAAAGCCCCGGCCCCACGCGCCGCGCGCCCCGCGCCCCCACCCGCCCCGCAGCCTACAACTGCGCCCCCACCGCCCAAGAATGCATGGGTGCGGGCTCCGGTCGTCAAGGCGACACCCCCCCCCGCCCCCTGCGCCCTTTGCAGCCCCGATGCTGGCCAAAGCAGTAGCCTCCCCACCCCCACCCCGCAGCTCAGCGCAGTTGGCGGCTCGGGATTCGCCGCCAACTTCGCCCTGGTGGCGAAGCTCGCCTGCACCATAGACGCAGGCGAGATCTCCGCCCTGGCCTCCAAGCTGAGGTCCGCGAAGTCCCCTCAGGACAGGCTCGCAGCCGTCTGCGAGCACATCAGCGTTTTAGATGCGGTTACAAATTTCATCGTTTAAATTATGGGACGTAAAGGTCTAAGGTGCAAACCTCGGTCCGTTTAGTTGGCGCTCTACAACGCCAATGGACTTCAAGGCCAGAAGGAAGAGATAAGAGAATTCCTCACCGACCATCAGGTGGACGTTCTCCTCATACAGGAGACCTTCCTGAAACTTTCGATGCGCGATCCTAGGATCGCGAACTATCTAGTCAAAAGAGACGACTGCGTCAGCCGAGGTGGCGGTAAATTAATATATTACAGGAGGTCCCTGCAATGTACCCCGATCGATACGCCCCCGCTCGAAAACATCGAAGCCTCGGTGTGTCTTCTAGCGATGACCGACCATAGACCGATATACTTAGTATCGGGATATCTCCCTCCGACGAAAAAGATTCTCCGCGCCGACCTCCAAGCCCTTTTGGCCCTGGGGGATTCGGTAATTATAGCGGGCGATTTAAACAGTAAGCACAGCAGGGCTGTGTCTTCCAAAATCGCAACGGTCTAACCCTGGAACGCCTATCGACCTCCTTGGGTTACGACATTCTTCCGCCCGTGCATCCTACGCACTACCCTACAAACACTGCGCATCAGCCATGCATTCTCGACCTGGCCCTACTAAAGAACGTAGCCCTCAGGCTGAGTTCTATAGAGGTCCATGCCTAATTAATCTCCGACCACCGCCCCGTCACCCTCACCCTAGGCCCACCAGTTGACGGGGCGCCAAAACTCAAAACGGTAACAGACTGGAGCCAGCTCGTGGAAATCTTCGAGTCGACTGACACTCCAGCGCTGGACCGCATTCAAGACAGCATTGAGTCTGTATCGGAGAATAATCTAAAAATAATATTAACTAAAAATAATAATAACTAAAAATAATAATAAGTAAAAATAATAATAACTAAAAATAATAATAACTAAAAATAATAATAACTAAAAATAATAATAACTAAAAATAATATTAACTAAAAATAATATAAACATTATAATAATTCATTAATTCCGCTCCGCTTATAAACATTGCGGCAACACTGTAAGCGAAGTGCACGAAGATAGCGGCCGACTGCGGCCGCAGCGTTTTGGCAGCGCGGCTAACTTCGCGGATACTCTCAAATGCGCGTATTACGTATGCACTGTGTTTGCTTATGTTTGAAATATTATTTGTATAATCTCACCTCATATTGTATTGTCATTGTGTATGTGCTTGTGGGCTACTCAAATAAATCATTTTAGTGTCTAGAAAAAACTGCATTCGCTCCGTGTATGCGTAAGTTCATTTTTTACTGTATACCCACCATCAGCAAACATTAGTGAACCTCGGATAAATACAGAGTTGGTGAGGGTCGAGGAGTCATCAAAGGGCCCTACACTACAAGTCTATCGAAGATACCAATACCGCTATCGATGCGCTCTCTGAGCACCTGCAGTCGGCAGTCAAGGACTGCTCCAGGGAAGTTCCGGACACGGGAGACCGTAGATGGAAACTGCCTGATGACGCAAGGGCTCTGCTGCGCGTAAAGAACGCCGCTACGCGACATTACGATCGCTACCCCTCAAATCAAAACCGGGCCCGCCTGCAAGCTTTACAGCGAGAAGTATCGCATGGCGGAATTACGGAAAGACAGATGGGATGACTTCACTAGGAAGCTCACCCGCAGTCACACCGCGTACTGGCGCATTGCCAAATCTCTTAAAACCGATCAAGACCCTACCGCCACTGGTCCGAACTGACAATACCCTAGCCCTCTTCGACGAGGACATAGCTGAGTGTCTGGCTGACAGCCTGGAAACACAATGCTCCCCGAACACCCTTCCGGTGCCTGACGGTCATCTGGAGGAAGTAGAATCCGAGGTGGAGCGGATCGCGTCGATCCCACCCCTAGTGTCACTCTCCCCCGTCACTCTCCATGAGGTGCAATTGCTCATTAAAAAGACCTCTCCCCGTAAGGCACCCGGTGCCGACGGTATCACAAACAGACTCCTTAAGAGTCTGCCAGAAAGTATTCTGCTACTATTAGTAGCAATCTTCAATGCGGCTTTTTCCAACGCTATCTTTGCGGAGGCTTGGAAAGAGGCCGATGTGATAGGGTTCCCCCAAG